TTTTTTTGCGTTATTTCAAAAATAATACTGCAACAACCAAACGCTGTGCTTTCCTAACCTACAAAACCTGTTTCTTATCACTTATTTTCGAATATTTCAATAATTTTTATTATCAAAACTACGAGTTTCCTAAAGCTAATATTTTAGGATTAGACTGCTAACTATGTAATCTATTCACCATATTAATTTCAACTCTCAACTCGTGCGATGGTAATGTACAGTTGAGCCTTAGACTGCTAACTATGTAATCTATTCACCATATTAATTTCAACTCTCAACTCGTGCGATGGTAATGTACAGTTGAGCCATTGCTCCAAACAAGCTCGCAACCTCGGTTCCATTGCTAAAAAGATGAAGAAAATATTTCTAAAGTTGGAATGTAACATCACAATAAACTTTGCAAGATCTTCGAAGAAGAAGAAGATCTTACATGAATTATGAGTGACAAAAGTAGGTATATCACAGAAGAACTAAATATAATGTTTCTGCAGATACTTACCTTTAAAATACCTTTGAAATCACTTTTCACTTTTAAAACTACTTTATTTCACTTCAATGCCGCGCGTTTTGTTATGAACATCGACCACTTGTCAAATTCAAAGTGACGTTTGCCGTCGAAACCGTAGACTATATTTTGATTTTTAACGAATTATCGAATAGAATGAGCAATCGTCAGGCTCTTGTAACTTTATCGTTTTCATTTAATCTTTAACGATTGTAGAAATGGAATAGACTGAGCAATTGCCACTATATATTTAGGCCCTCAGTATGGTGACTTTAACGATATGGTACGTGGTCGTTTTTTCATAAGAGTGAAAGAGATAGTTGCTCAGCCAGTAGGCAGTATTTTTCCTGCGTCAAAAGATCTCTGCGCTAAGCATGTTAATTAACTCGAAACATTCAGGCGTTTGTACGAGTAAATAGAAGTTGCACGTTCCGCGGCTAAATTTCGGATAAAATAGACAGACGACAGACATTCACAATTAATAAACTTATTGTTGATGTATATTAGTATATTATGCTTCAGGCCACGGTTAACGAATTTCTAGACAAGCCGATGAATACATAGGTTTACAATAAAACCAACAGCTCAACAGACAAATACATTAAGTGGTGGTCATATAATTAGAAACACTTGGTAGTCTTTTAATGTAACTATCATTATTATTGAAATTAATTGGAGGCTTAAATATTAATTTAATACATTACAATGTACACTCATATCCTAGTTTAAAAACAAGCTATAATATTTAGACAACCGAGACGAAATATAAAAAAATAACTGAAACAAAAGGTACTTGGCAGTCGGACAATTAATTAGAAAGAAACTTGAAACAAATAATGTATTCAACCACTAATCGTACTTATGAGCAATTTTTGCACATTTTGTGACGCGTATAATTAGTGAATAGATAGGTTTGGGCGCGCGTTTAGTATGCATATCTATAGGAGATAGGTCTAATAATACGTCTGTAGTGACTCCAAGACAGGATCGACTAAGACTTTGTAACGATGAGGCACTAATGGTATGGTCCCATACAAAAATACAAATTTTATTTTTTTCCTACTAAACTATTATATTTATGGCAAAATGTTATATGACAATATTTAGTGAGGACAATAGGATCTCTCGATTGGAGGTGTACTTAAGTGATTTCCCGAATCCCGAACAGGTCCAGGACCTTAAAAAATATTGTCGTAAGGCAGTCTCCATTTTCTGTCTATGTTCCTCGAAGTGTAGGTAAAAAAACTCCATCTATTCCGATCCCTGCTGATGACGTACATACATAGGGTGCACTATACGTTTCCGGAACTGGCCACTTATATAAACAATATTTAAAAAGTAATTACAACATTTGAAAATAGAACTCTTTGGCTGCAGAATACAGTTTGTTTCATCTGACTGTCACTTGTTATTTGATGTCACTTGTTATTGTGGCGTCATTTTAGAAATTGGTTGTCTACATTACCATGGAAATTGTCTACATTACGGGAAATTATTCATGAAAATTTTCGTAGTATGATTTTCTACGAATTTAAGTGTAACTGAACAGCTAAGCGGAACTGCTTTTGGCGATGAAGCACCGTGCAAGCCGACTATTTATAGCTGGTTTGCAGAATTCAAACGCGGTCGTGTGAATCTCAGTGACGATTTTCGTGATGGTCGCCCGTCCACTGCTGTGAACAACAAAAACATCGATGCTGTGCGCCGTATGATCAAAACAGACGGGCATGTGACATACCATGAAATTCGGGCATCTTTAGGCATAGGCATGAGTCAAATACAATCAATACTACACAAACATTTGGGTGTGAAAAAGCTGTGATCTCGGTGGATCCCACACAATTTGACTGAGGCCCAAAAAATTGATCGCGTCACTTGATGCAATGCCATGCTTACCATATCCAATGACGGGGCGTCAAATTTGGTGTGGGACATAGTGACAGGTGACGAAACATGGATTTATAGTTACGATCCCAAAACAAAGCAGCAATGGAGCGTCTTTCGAGATGAGCCGAAACCAACAAAAGTGGCGCGCGTGCAAAGTGCTTCTAAGCTAAGCGGATGATTGTTCTTTTTTTAATAAAACAAGACACGTGGCTACTGTTGCTTGGAGAATCGTTGTACCGTGATGGGTACACGACCATTTGTTTGCCGGAAGTTATTGGTAAACTCCGTAAATATAACCGTAAACGCCGTGCACTCTTGCACCACGATAATGCCAGTTCTCACACGGCCAGACAGACAAATGAAGTTTTGAAGGTAAACTAGGTTGACCTTATGAGCCATCCCGCGTACAGTCCCGACCTGGCACCTTGTGACTTTTATTTATTTCCAAAAATTAAGAACCAATTACGCGGTCAACGATTTTATCACCTGAAGAGGCTGTCGAAGAGGAGGACGAGTGGCATAAATGTTTACAAAATTGGTTCATTCGTATGAAAAAGTGCATTAACGCTAACGGAGAATATTTTGAGAAACAATAAATTCATATCTGACCATTTATTACACAATTTATTTCCAAAAATTAAGAACCAGTTACGCGGTCAACGATTTTCATCACTTGAAGAGGCTGTCTAAGAATATGAAAAATATGTTTCAGAGATTGTCACGGAGGAGTGGCATAAATGTTTTCAAAATTGGTTCATTCGTATCAAAAAGTGCATTAACGCTAACGGAGAATATTTTGAGAAACAAATTCATTTCTGACCATTTATAGTATTTTTTCTTATTCATTCCAGAAACTTATAGTGCGCCCCACGTAATAAAATCGAATTTAATGTTAATAAGAAGCAATAATAACATTTTCACAGATAAGAAATTTGTTCTAACAAAACAGTTTATCTGCTAGTCCTAATTGAACACATTATAGAAAGTCTATGGTATGTGTGTAGATAAAATACTGTTCACGGTTTCCTAGCTAAAAGACACAAAATTCCCGTTATTCTTTTTCTCGTATCGATGACATACACTATAATGCTTGCCATCGTCGTGAAAGGATTAGCCAATAGGCGTAAGATACTCGTCGATTATTGCCCAGAGTACC